CTTTATTTGCATGTAGATAGTGAAGATGAATAATTTATCAAATGTTATTAGTACAGGCTGCAGATTTCTGGAATCTCAGCAGGATATAATGAAATTTGTCTCATGCAAGTATGAAAATAGCATGGCTTTGCATAGTCGTTATTGAACTCTTGGCATCTCTTGGAGAACAATTACGTTAGCATGCCAGTCTTGCACACCTCTTCATTAACTGGGCTTTTGATTGGAGAGTTTAACTTATCTTGAAAAATCTGTGGAATCCAACATGCCAAATGCTTGCTTGACTTTAGCCTGTTTCTATGTTGGAGCATACATTTTCAGAACGAGTAAAGTACTAAATGTTTCTTAGTAAGGTGAGTAGTGCAAAAAGGCTATGACTGATGCTTTTATTACTTTTGGTTGTGAAAAGTTGTACCAGAGATACTGAAGCAATAAAGCTTTCTTAAATGACAGGTGATGAAACATGTATGTAAGTGCTTAGAATCTTAGAGCTGTACTAATTATGTATTTGAAGTTATTTTAATGATTGCTTCTTAAAAGTTGCATTTGATATGCTTCTGTCATGATGGCATGAGGAGGTCAACAAACCTTCTTCTCAAAAGCAATGCTAAAGTTGCACAAGCAGTCGAAAGCAAATCATGTCAGTACCCTGGAAATCAACTAAAAGCATTCAACAAACTGAGAAGTGTTTATTCACGATTAAACTGAACTTCGGATAAAAACAGTGTAAGTCTTGGTATTTATGCTGGGGCGGCTCCATTTTCCCTCCTCTGCTCAGTGGGCAAGGTTGCAACTAGGGCAAAACAGGCCATGAAAGCCAGCAACTTCCTGGCTGCTCCTGAGACAGCTCAGTGGATTTGGAGAACTGTCAGGTACGGTGGAGATTTTGATGGCAAGCAGTAGGGAAGGTCTGCAGCTCTACTGGACTGAAGTTACTGACCTGTTTGGTGCAAGCAGTGGACAGACGGACTAGCCGGGGTTTTAGCAGGGAATTCTGGGAGCTGAGCTAGCGCTATGAGGCTTGTGAAACTCTCCACATACCTTAAGTTAACCAGAAGTTGTTTCTTCTGCACATGCAGCAGAAACTGGAATGGACTTTGTAAGAAATATTGAAAGTTTGTCAGGCAGAAAAGAAGAGGCACTGAATAATAACTTGGATTCCAAGGAGCAGTGAAACATGCTAGAAATGGTATTTATATGAGTAAACATATTTTTCATTTTCATTATTTAAAAAAACATAGGCCAGGTGCAGTGACTCATACTTTTAATTCTAGTACTTTGGGAGGCCAAGGTGGGAGTATCACCTAATCCCAGGAGTTTGAGACCAGCTTGGACAACATGGCAAGACCTCATCTCTATTAAAAAAATTTAAAAAGTAATGGACGTCGTGGTGCACACCTGTAGTCTCAGCTCCTCAGGAGGCTGAGATGGAAGGATCGCTTGAGCCCAGGAAGTCGAGGTTGCAGTGAGCCATGATCGTGCCACTGCACTCCGGCCTGGGTGACAGAGTGAGACCCTGTCTCATAGAAAACAAAATGGAAAAAAACACATAATTATGTAACAAACAATAATTATAGCACCATATTTTTAGCTTTACATGAGTCTTCCCTTAACTATGAGAGATACATTCCAAGATCCCCAGTGGATGCCTGAAACTATGGAGAGTACCAAACCCTGTGTATCCTGTGTTTTTTCCTATACATACATCCATACCTATGATAAAGTTTCATTCACAAACTAGGCATAGTAAGAGATTGACAACAATAGTAAGAAAATAGAATAATTATTACAGTACACTATAATAAAAGTTATGCGAATGTGGGGTCTCTCTCTTCCTGTCTCAAAATATCTTCTTATACTGTACTGTGGGTAACTGAATCCGTGGAAAGCAAAGCCACAGGTAAGTGGTGCTACTGTATACCACTATATATGTTAATATGTGTGCCAATAGTACAAAAGAGGAAGAAGGAAAAGAAATAGCATCAGGACAATTGAATATCCATATTTAAAAAAAGAGCTTAGGTCTTCACTGTACATAAAAATAAACAAAGTGAATTCTAGACATAAATATAAGACAGAAACAATAAAACATGTAGAAGAAAACACATGATAAATCTCTGTGCCCTTAATATAGCTAAAGAGTTCTTAGATGTGACACCAAAAGCATGAGCCATAAAAGAAAAAATTGGATGCATTGAACTTCATTAAATGGAGAAAACATTTACTTTTCAAGACACACTATTGTGAACATGAAAATATAAGCCACATACTGAGAGAAAATATTTATAAATCATATATCTGATAAAGGTCTTGTAACCATAATGTGTAAATAATTCTTACAACTCAGTAAGACAAATACTCTAATTAAAATACTGGTAAAATACTGGAGTAGACATTTGTATTAGTTGGGACCAATGGGTGTATATATAGAAAGAGATGTAGTGTAAGGAATTGGCACGTGCAACTGTGGAGGTTGAGAAGTTCCAAGATCTGCGTTCAGCAAGCTGGAAACCTCAGAGAGCTGTTGTGTATGTAGTTGCAGTCTGAGTTCAAAGGCCTAAGAAACAGGAGAGCCAATGGTGTTAAGTTACAGTCCACAGGCTGGCACACTTGAGACCCAAGAAGAGACAATATTTCAGTGTGAGTCTAAAGGCCAAAATGAACCTGTGTTCTAGTTCATACAGTCAGTCGGGAGGAGCTCACTCTTAGCCTTTTTTTTTTTTAAATTGAGACCTTTATTTAATTGGATGAGGCTCATCTACACTGGGAAGACAATTTGCTTTACCTAGTCTGCCAATTCAAATGGTATCTTATCTAGAAACACCCTCACAGAGACATTCACAATAATATCAAAATATCTGGGTACCCTGTGGCACAGTCAAGTTGACATATAAAATTGATCATCATAACATTCTACTGAATAAGAAATACATTTGGCTGATAATCACATGAAAAGGTACTCAACATCATTCCTCACTATGGAAATGCATATTCAAACCACAATCACATACCACTACACACCCATTAGAATGGCTGTTATCAAAAGAAGTTGTAGTACTAAGTATTGGCAAGGATATGAAGAAACTCAAAACCTCATACATTGCTGGTGGGAATATAAAATGGTATGACTGCTTTCGTAAGCTGTTGTTTCTTAAAATGTTAAATATAAATTTACCACATGATCCAGCAGTTCTACTCCTAGGAATATATCCAAGGGAAATAGAACATATGTCCGTATAAAAACTTGCATGTGAATGTTCACAGAAGCATTTTTATGGTAGCTGTTAATTGGAAACAATTCAAATGTCAATCAGCTGGTCAGTGGATTAACAAAATTCCCTCTATTTGGTATGGGAATAGAGATAGACTCTAATAAGCTCAATTTTAGAACATTTACATCATATTTCTAAAATTGAGTTACTGTGATGATTATAAAACTTTTTTCTTTGAGATGGAGTCTCACTCTGTCGCCCAGGCTGGAGTGCAGTGGCGTGATCTTGGCTCACTGCAACCTCTGTCACCCAGGTTCAAATGATTCTCTTGCCTCACTCTCTTGAGTAGCTGGGCTTACAGATGCATGTCACCACACCCAGCTAATTTTGGTATTTTTAGTAGAGATGAGGTTTCACCATGTTGGCTGGGCTGGTCTGCCTGCCTTGGCCTCACAGAGTGCCAGGATTACAGGTGTGAGCCACGACGCCTGGCCAAAACTTTACAAATGTATTGACAATCTTTGACTCTTATTCTTATAGTGTGTGAATTTTATAGGCTATAGGATATACCTCAGTAAAGTTATAAAAATAATAGGTCTAGACTAGGTGCAGTGGCTCATGCTTGTAATTGCAGCACTTTGGGAGGCTGAGACAGGAGGACTGCTTAAGCCCAGGAGTTTGAAATCAGCCTAGGCAATATCGCGAGACCCTGTCTCTTAAACAAAACAAAACAAAACTAAACTAAAACCCCAAAAAACAAAAAAAAAAACCCCCAAAAACCCCAAAATACAGTATGTCCATATAGAAAGAACAAATGACAAATAAATATGGTAAAATAATAATTGAATCTGAAAGGTATGGGATTTTTTTGTATATTGTGTTCTTCCACTTTTTCTACAAGTGTGAAATTATTTCAAAATTTAAAAATTACAGACGTTTTAATGGCTCTTAGTAGTGATCTGATTTCCTTTTGTGACATTGTGTAAAAATAAAATGTTTGTTTGTTTAAAAAATCCAGCCCTAAAGTGCAATTTTATCTCAGCTTTTCGATTATTTACTTCTTTGATTTGTTGTTTGCTTTGAGCAGTTACTTGGGATTGCTTTTGTATTGTTATTATTATTACTCATTTTTTCTGTGATGTAGTGGCAGGCAGGCCCAGTGCCCAAACCACCCCTTCCTGCTACACGTACGTATTTGGCCTATGCTAGAGAGTATAAACCTGTAGAAATGATATTTTGAGGGTATTCTGTTTCTCATCTGTTCCAATATAAGCAAAGCAAATAGGCCTTGAATACAGCTGTTTTTCTGTTTTTTGTTTTGTTTTGTTTTGTTTTTTTGAGACGGAGTCTCACTCTGTAACCTAGGCTGGAGTGCAGTGGTGCCATCTCGGCTCACTGCAAACTCCACCTCCTGGGCTCAAGCTGTTCTCATGCCTCAGCCTGCCAAGTAGCTGGGATTACAGGCACCCGCCACCATACCCAGCTAATTTTTGTATTTTTAGTAGAGATGGAGTTTCACCATGTTGGTCAGGCTGGTCTCAAACTTTTGACCTCAGGCGATCCACCCACCTTGGCCTCCCAAAGTGCTGGGATTACAGGTGTGAGCCACTGCACCCGGCCGCTGTTTTCCCTTTGGACAGTATTTCTTAAGTTTAAATGATCACGCTTCACTCCTTTATGTTGTTTCCCCTGCTCCCAGAAAGAAGTTAAATGAACACGTTTGTTGAAAGCATTAAGTTACAGTGAAGTGTGTGACTCTTGCTAATGTGTATTTATGTGCTTGGTTTGAAGGTCACTCTGTGAGACTGCTGGGTCAGAAAAAGGATAATGGAAGGAGGCTGGGGGGAGCACGATTGGATTTGCCGAAGATTAGGAAGAATCCACTGATAGAAATCATTTCCATCAATACCGGGTAAGCATCTCTCGAACTTACTCATAAAATATTCAGTATATTTCATGAATTTAATTTTTTTTTCTTGGACATGTGACATAGAAAAGTAGCCGAACATTTTCTTGGGAAAGAAAAATTACAAAATGTGCTCGAATACAGTTTCTTCTGAAATGTTTCCTGTATGTAAACTATACTTATATTTGCAGCAGGGTTTTATTTATTTATTTATTTATTTATTTATTTATTTATTTATTTTGAGACGGAGTCTCGCTCTGTCGCCCAGACTGGAGTGCAGTGGCCAGATCTCAGCTCACTGCAACCTCCGCCTCCCGGGTTTATGCTATTCTCCTGCCTCAGCCTCCTGAGTAGCTGGGACTACAGGCGCCCGCCACCTCGCCCGGCTAGTTTTTTGTATTTTTTAGTAGAGACGAGGTTTCACCAGGTTAGCCAGGATGGTCTCGATCTCCTGACCTTGTGATCCACCCATCTCGGCCTCCCAAAGTGCTGGGATTACAGGCTTGAGCCACCGCGCCCGGCCTGCAGCAGGGTTTTATAACTTTAATATTATTTCCATTTTTGGTAATAAACATGGATTTCATTTCCCAGCTATGGCCTTATTTAAAATCTTTGAAAAAAATTAGCACTTTATTTTGTGGAGTGATTAAGACACTTATCATATTCGACTGTTTTTTTCAGTAAAGGTGTAGTAAATGTTGCCCAAGATACTAACCACACTTTGATTATTCACTATTTGAGATGCATATTTTAAAATGTTATTCTTCTGAGCTTTAAACTTAAAAGAAGCATCATGACAGATTATTAAGTACTCTTTTAATTTCCACACCTTGATTTAAAGTCCTTGATTATATCTCTTGGTATACTCATTTGTTTCATAAGCATTTATTGAATTTTTGCATTCTTTAAATTATGAGTCCGTCAGAAAAAGAAACATTTTCTGAAAATTTGATGAGATGAAGGCCTCTGTTTCTTAAATCACAGGGAGCAGCTAATTACCCATACAACCACATCTCATTCCCCACAGATTTAAGCTGTTCTGCCCCTTTCTACTTCATCCTCCTTCCCTTTTATTTGAAATTGTTTTCCTTCCGTTCTGTTCTTTCTTCATGCTCCTTCTCATTGAGAACTGGTGAACAGCTTCCTTGTCCACCATCTGCCTATTTCTCTGAATCCAATGCCTTTACTTCCTCCAGAACAGTGGCAGTTGTGTTGCCACTAGCCCTCTCTTCTGTAGTCTCACCAGTTTCTGGTTTATCCTCCACACTGCTGTCAAAGACTAGAAAAGGTTGACCAAAGTTATTTAGTTTTTCCCAAAAAGCCCCATGGAGTGGCATTCAGTGACTTGGTGAATTTGTGGTGGACCAGCATCTGGCCTTCAGTGTTGAAGATTCAGAAACCCAAACTTATCAAGCTGAGAAACTAGTAATTAAAGCAGAATTTAACAGTGAGAAGTATAGTTGTCACTTGACTGAGTACCTCATATACTCATTCTGTCTGTCCAGCCTGAGCTGAATTATAAATGCAAGTCTGTTTGCTTTCCCCGCCTCAGTTCTTCTTTCTCCTTCATTCCAACATTGTAATACTTTCCCACAACTCCTGATTATCCTATTTAAAATCTCAAACGTTCTAACATTCTTTCTCTTTTTTTAGTTGCCTTGTTTTCCTCTGTAACTTTAGTTGTCATTGAAATATATAAATGGTCATTTATTTGTATTTTAATTGTCTCTCCTCACTGGCATATACTCTCCATGAGAGCAGGGCCTTTTTGATTTTGTTATTTACCACTCTGTCCCCAGTAAGTAGAAAATTATACACAGTAGGGATTTAATGCATATTTATTTACTGAATGAATGAATGAATAAGTTACATAATTTGACAGTTTAGCGGGACTATGCTAAACTATCATCATGGTACAGATTGCTTTGCAAATTGGACAATAATATTTGGAGTTTGCTGGCTAATCATGCTTTCTCCTGAAAAATGCAGTGTTTTTTTTTTTTGTTTTTTGTTTTTTGTTTTTTGAGATGGAGTCTCCCTCTGTTACCTAGGCTGGAGTGCAATGGCGTAATCTCGGCTCACTGCAACCTCCACCTCTGGGTTCAAGCGATTCTCCTGTCTCAGCCTCCCAAGTAGCTGGGATTACAGGTGCATGCCGCCATTCCCGGATAATTTTTTCTGCTTTAGTAGAGGCAGAGTTACAGCGTGTTGCCCGGGCTAGTCTCGAACTCCTGAACTCAGGCAATCCACTTGCCTCGGCCTTCCAGAGTGTTGGGAATACAGGCATGAGCCACTGCGCCTGGCTGAAAAATGCTGGTTTTGTGTGTGTGTTTATGCGGGGCTTTTGGCTAGACACATTCCTTTAAAACATTAGTATTTCAGGGTCTGTCAAACTCTGTTAGATTAGGATTCATTAGGTCTCTGAACGGTAACTTTCCAGGTACGTATTTGGCCTATTGAGTGTCTGTTTTTAACTGTTTATTTTTCTAGTCCCTGTGTTCTTTTTCATTTTGTCACTCCCCTCTTCACACTCCAGTATTCAGTTTCCTGAACTACTTGAAATTCTCAAAACTCCAGATTCTTCTCTGTCTTGACTGCAGGCCTCCCCGTAGGCTAAAGGGTTTTCCTGGCGTGTCTGTTCTTCCCCATTCACCTCATGGGTGAGCCTCCTGCTCTCAGCTGTGTGCTCCTTTCTTGGGATGTCTGCTTCTTTCTCCCTCCACAACCAGTCTACATCTATCCCTCCCTCTAATTTGTGTCCACAGCATTCCCTATGTATCCTGATTATGGCACTTTACAGACTGTGTCATTTGGATCTTCCACTACATTGTAAGCTCCTTGGGTGCTGAATGTGTTTCAGTTGTCATTACATTATTATCTTCGAGTTCAGTGTTTAGTGCAAAGTGAGCACAGTTGTCCCTCGGTCTCTGCAGGGGATTAGTTCCAGGACCTCCTCAGATACAAAATCTATGCACACTTAAGTACCTCATATAAAATGGTGTAGTATTGGCCGAGTGTGGTGGCTCCCGCCTGTAATCCCAGCACTTTGGGAGGCCGAGGTGGGCGGATCATGAGGTCAGGAGATTGAGACCATCCTGGCCAACAAGGTGAAACCCCATCTCTACTAAAAATACAAAAATTAGCTGGGTGTGGCGGCATGTGCCTGTAATTCCAGCTACTCAGGAGGCTGAGGCAGGGGAATCACTTGAACCTGGGAGGCAGAGGTTACAGTGAGCCGAGATCGCACCGCTAAACTCCAGCCTGGAGACAGAGCTAGACTCCATCTCCAAAAAAAAAAAAAAAAAAAAAAGGTGTAGTATTTTCATATAACCCACTGACTTTTTCCAATATACTTTAAATCATCTCTAGATTACTAATAATACGTAATACAATATAAATGCTACATAAATAGTTGTTATACTATATTTTAAAAATTTAGTTTCTTTTACTTGTTGCATTATTTTTAAGTGGCTTTTTTTTTCTTCTAAATATTTTCTTTTTTTTTTCTTTTTTCTTTTTTTTTTTTTCTGATGTGGAGTCTCAGTCTGTTGCCCAGGCTGGAGCACAGTGGCGCGATCTCGGCTCACTGCAACCTCTGCCTCCTGGGTTCAAGCGATTCTTCTGCCTCAGCCTCCCAAGTAGCTGGGACTGCAGGCGTGTGCCACCACACCTGGCTAATTTTTGTATTTTTAGTAAAGACGGGGTTTCACCATATTGGCCAGGCTGCTCTCGAAGTCCTGACCTTGTGATCTGTGCACCTCGGCCTCCCAAAGTGCTGGGATTATAGGCTTGAGCCACCACACCTGGCCCCAAATAATTTCAGTCCATGATTGGTTCAATTTGTAGATATAGCACACACATGGATACAGAGGGCTGACTGCACTCAATAAATATTTGTTGAGTAAATGTTTTATAAGTTATTAGTTTTTGTTGCTGTATATTAATTAAAAATTAATTTTAAAAATATTTAAAATTTTTTTAATGTTTACAATTTAAAATTTTAAAAATTTGCTTTAGGTAACCATTTTAAATAGCCTTTAGGTAAAATATTTTATGTATATTATTTGAATTTTCCCTCTTATAGACTTAATGTTTTCTTCAAAATGGGCCTGCACTTTAAAAGATTGAAAGCTCACTGGATTTGGTGTCACTCTTATCCTCTTGTATCCCTCACATTAGAGTGTTGATCCTCAGTACAGTAGCAAATAACGCTTTTCATATTAAGAAAATTTAATCCATATTGTCCCAGAATGAGAAAATGAGTTTCTAATTTTCTCAGACTGCTAATCATCTTCCTGAATCGGTTGTAGCCTTATCACTTGCTCTCACATAAAAGCATTCCCATAAGTATTTGTCTACACTATCATTCTATAACATATTAGCTTCGATTTCTTTCTTTATTTTATTTTATTTTTTTGAGATGGGGTCTTGCTCTGTCACCCAGGCTGGAGTGCAGTGGCATGATCTCAGCTCACTGCAAGCTCCACCTCCTGAGTTCAGTTGATTCTTCTGCCTCAGCCTCCAGAGTAGCTGGTACTACAGGCGCACGCCACTGCACCCAGCTAATTTTTGTATTTTTAGTAGAGATGGGGTTTCACCATGTTGGCCAGGCTCGTCTTGAACTCCTGACCTTGTGATCCACCCACCTTGGCCTCCCAAAGTGCTGGGATTACAGGTGTGAGCCACTGTGCCCGGCCGGATTTCATTTTTTTCATGCTGGTGGAGCTCATTGCTTTTTTTCACTTACTTTTAAATGTTTTAAAATGATTATACTCATAATTATTTTTCAGTAGAAAAATGAGCCTTCTCAGTAAAATCCTAACACTTTTCAAAATTTTATTGCTTCCGGATTAAATATGTAGATCTGACTTTCCATAAATTTTTCATTTTTCATTTAGGAAAAGGGTCCCATTTGTAGCAACTTTTATTATACGTATTAGTAAATTACTGAAGTTACTATTAGAACCATTAGACTTTGCAAAGTTGTTATGCCTTGTTATATTTCT